CTGACGGCATGGTAGTGAGTTTTATGTTTCTGGGAATAAAGATTATGTCATCATAAGGGGAAATGTTCATGACATCATGGGTGAAACAGTTAAGATAGTGCATTCAGTCGTGTCTGGGGCCCTCGCTTTTTAGAAAGCAAGCAGCCCTCTAGTGATCAGCGGACTGTGGATAACCAACCCAGTGGCAGAGACAGGCTCAGTAGCGGAGCTGAGATGCTGAGCACCCAGATGGGAGACAGTGACACCCCAAATCCCATTTTCAGGGTCCCCACATGGCTGGAGCCTGCAGAGAACCCCCTCTGACCAGTGGCCAGGGATGTGAATCGCCCTGCTATTGGACAGTGGATTGGGGAGTGTCTGAGTGTGATATAGTTGGGTTAAAATTTACCCCTATGGTGCATTCTCCCCTTCTGATCCATGGTAAATTTGTTCTAGCTTTGATGATTTCCTGCTTCTTTGGGCTGGAATCTTCCTGGGCTGCACTGGGTACTTGTTGTCGGGGGACCTTGTATGGTTCTCACTGGTGAAGCTCAGAACAGGCAAATCGATGGAGACGGGCTGGATTGAGCATTTCTGGCATCACGGCAGGAGAGGTGGGGAGAACGGGGAGCTAAGAAAAGGTTCTAAAATTGATTGTGGGGATTATTGCACAACTTCTATTATGTTTAAACTTTGGAATGTACAGTATGAGAATGCTATGTCATTAGAGCTGTGAAAAATGGGGGGTGGGGAATAGTGCATTCAAATACTCCTATTTTTATTTTTGACACCACGTTAATGCAGCGACAGAAACCGGCAGAATGCACCCCGATGTAGGATCTGGGTTGCGTTATTTGCTTTGCCCATATTCTCCACGTGCTGCATAGCAGACCCGGCACTTGGGAAGGAAGAGACACTAGTGAATTAAATCTTTTCCATCGTAAAGTGAGTTTTCGAAAATATTCTTGAAGTTAAATTTTGAAATCTTGGCAGGATAAACTGGATCCATTTTCCTCCCTTCCTCCCTCCCTCCCTCCCTCCCTCCCTTCCTGAAAATAGAATCAGGGACATGAAGCCAAAAGTCTCTTCCAGGCAATGTCATGAGATTTGTCTGTGATGGAATCCACAGGGACATGCACGCGCTTACCTGCCGTCGTCCGGGCGGGTCCTAGATTAGCAGGTGGGGTGCAAGGTGTATGTCCTTCTGCGGGGCCCCAGGAGGATAGGGTGATCTCACATCCCTGAGCCCGAGCAAGCGTCTGAGGTCGGTGGCTTGCCCTTCTTTCCCTCTGGAAAATGCCTCCTGACACTTGCCTTGTCCTCTCACAGCCGACGGGAGATGCCTGGCCTCAGTCGGAGTCGACGACGGCCACAGCATCGTGCTCTGGGACTGGAAAAGAGGAGAGAAAGTGGCCACCACCAGGTAAGGCAGCCTGGGTCCTGGGCCGTGCTGGCAGGTGGCACGTGGCTGGCAGGGGCCATTGCCCTCGTTTCTTGGATGATGTCTTCTTTTTATTGTAATCATTTGGGGGCTCATATAGCTCTTATCACAATCCATCCATCCATCCATTGTGTCAAACATTTGTACACTTGTTGCCATCCTCATTTTCAAAACATTTTCTTTCT